CAAGATCCCGCTGCGCGGGCGGGCGAAGGCGCAGCGCAGCGCGGCGCACACACACACACACACACACACACACACACACACACACACACACACAAACACAAACACGAACACACACGCACACACACTCACTCACTCACTCACTCACTCACAATCAATCTATCAATCAATCAATCAATCAAACCCCTTTTTTGAAGTTTTTTCTTGCTTTATTTTCAAATTTTGCATCTGCATTTTTTTTAAACACCTCATACCCCTGCAAAAAACAGAAATTCATTTCTAAAAAAATACAGGTGAACTCAGGGACCATATATCTCATGATAAAAAATGAGAAAAAAAAATCCAGCTTTTCTTTATATATATATATTTTTTAATTTTCTTTAAATCGAATTTAGTTTTTTATTTTTTAAAAATCTTAAACAAAGTCGGATTCCAAAAAACAAAAATGGGGTTGTAGGGCTTAAAATTCCCTACAACGGTACAACCCCATATTTTTTATTTTTTTAACTATTATTTAATTCAGGAAAATTCCGGTAAAATCGGGTCCGCGGCGCGGACCAGGTCAGCCGCGGACGCGGCCCCATCTGCGTCCGCCATCCGAGATCGGACCCGAGGACGCGTCCGCAGGTGTTTCATAGCCGCCTTGAACAGTGGGAGGATGACAAGGGGCACTGGGAAGGCTACTGGTGGGGTGGAAAGGGAGAACCGGTGAAGAGCAAACTTGAGGTGTGCCCATTGGGTGCGTGGTGGGAAACCCGCCTTGGCAGCTCGGGCTCTTCACAGTGCTTTGGACAGTGATGAGATGAGGGGATTACTCTGCTCCTTGGACTTCAGTAATAGAACTGGTCGGTAGTGGGCAGTGCATTCTGTTTCTGATTTCATTTCATTTTGCTAGTTCAATTTCCTTTTCTTTTCTTTTGAAGGTGGAGATTACGGACGCTGGACCCGGTTTCCAGCATATGTCACTCCGGGTTGAATTGTGAGATCCCCGGCTTCAACCATGTTTATTTTTGCAATACAAGAACCATCTAAAAAAAAAAAAAAAAAAGGAACAACCGCAGTACCAAAACCAGCCCCATGAAATTTCTTACACAACCACCTAACACCAAAATTTTACAACCGTAGTAAACTCTGGAAAAACAGTTCAAAAAAAGACCCAAATAATCTCTTGCCGAATGTCCCTCAGTCCAGCCCCCATCATTCGGCCAACCCCCCCGGAACCTTCGGTCGGGCTCGCTCGGGTTCAGTAGGGCAACGCTGCACCCCGCACTGAAATCTCGGTTGAACTCAACTGAATGATTTATTACAAACTCGTATTGAATTAAACGCGCTTTACACAGAATTAGACCCCACGCCTTTTGCGGCTCCCAATTCCGCGTTTCTCTCTCCCTCTCTCTCTCTCTCTCTCTCTCTCTCTCTCTCTCTCTCTCTCTCTCTCTCTCTCTCTCAGACTCTCTCTCTCTCTCTCTCTCTCTCTGCGTAGCATATCAGGCACTGAAATGGACCGAGAGCCTAGGATCTAGCAATGATGAAAGTGGCAACAACCAGCAGCATAGATGCAACATTCACAAGATGCCAATGTGCACAATG